GATCTTTGCGATCTACGGTCAGTATCTCTTAATTCGTGCAAGTGGGACCTAGCCCCCGGAGATACTGGGGCCAATACGCAGCATATGCTCGTGCTGGAAAGCCCATCCAGCGTCCATTCAACTATCCCTTCCACCGCGAGGTTCGCACAAACCCGAGAACTTCGATTTCGAACGAGGACTGTAGCGTAATTTTGCATTGCTTCCCAAAAAAGAAAAGAAAGAAAAGAAAAGAAAAGAAAAGGAAAGTATTGCAAGCTGCGTGCATGACATTGTGAATAACGCTTTCGTTCCATTTCGTTCGCTCCGCACATTAGCAAGCTGCGTTCCACATGCGTTCTTTTATCCTTTTTTTAAAACCAAGCAACTTCCTTTTTTGTCTCTTTTCTTGTACAAGAACAATTGGTCTGTTCTGCTTGCTAATTGTCCCTATTTAGTTCCCACATGCGTTCTTTTATCCTTTTTTTTTTTTTAACCAAGCAACTTCCTTTTTTTTCTCTTTTCTTTTACAAGAACAATTGGTCTGTTCTGCTTGCTAATTTTCCCTATTTAGTTCCCTCATGCGCTCTTTTATCTTTTTTTCTTAAACAAGCAACTTATTTCGCAAATAACTGATTGATGTAAGCCTCCCGCAGTAAAGCCCTCTTCACATTAAATAGAAACCGAGGGGGGGGTGCAGAAATCGCAAATGCGCTCTTAGTTGATGGCTCTGTGACAGTACACATTCTGACAACGAGCCTACCGGTAGCTCAGTTGGTACACCACCCATGGAACTGTTGAAATACATACCAGAGTTCGAATCCAGATGGAGATAGATGAATCAGCTCAAATTTTTAAAAAATAATAATAATAATAAAAATTAAAAAAACATGCTGCTTGTTATCTCTTCCTATATTCATTCTGCTCATTCACTCTCAGTTGACGGCTTTGTCATCACACAAGTCGTTGGTAGCGGGCTCTACAGGTAGTTCGAGCAGAGTGCGGATTTTACTATAGCCAGGGGTGTGGTCCCACTAGCAAAGAGGATCGGATCGAATGCCTGCATCTGGACGTGTTTGTAGAGAGGTGCAGGAAATCGAGATTGAACTGCTTTTCTGCATCTCTGCATAAAACACATCCAGATTCAGGCATTCGATCCGATCCTGTTTGCTAGTGGGACCTCAGCCCAGGTGAAAGCCCGAACACAGTCTGTTTTTTTTTTTTTGAAAAAACATCCCGAGCGATACCTGTCGCAGCCCGCCATCTTTTTTTCTCTCTTTTTTTTTTTCTTTTTTTTTCTCTTTTTTTTCTCTTTTTTCCCGTTTTTCCCTTTTTTCTTCTTTTTTCTTCTTTTTTCTTTTTTTTTAAATAATGGTCCGACGAGCCGGATACGGACCAGCGACCTAAGGATATCGATGGACCAATTTGCCTTAGACCTCAGTTAGCAGGTGGGCAAACTAATCACCGACCAGAACCCCAATAGTTGAGACCCCCCACTTCGGAGACATACATGCACACACCAATATACCCTCTCCTCTCTTCTCTCCACCCCACCCTCCCCCCAATCCCTCTCTTTCTCTCTCCTTCCTCTCCCGGCACCCTTCTCTCCTCACCATACGTCGAAATGCACAGAACAGATTTCTCAATCTTGCGGACATGTCAGCGACTGCCCCAGAGGATGGCCGGCTACTATCTTACACCGGCCTCAGGAAAAAAAAAAAAAAAAAAAAAAAAAGAAACGCAACAGCGTCGGGAACGCCAGAGTGCCTACTACGTTTTTTTTTTGTTTTTTTTTGGGGCAATTGCAAAAATAGCGCGTTCTTGAAGTTTGGCAGCAGAAATGTTATACGGGTCCGAAACATCTATTTTTGCAAGGAAAGTGGGGCCCCGCCAGCAAATATTTTTGCTGTGAAACTACCGGGACCTCTAAAGCTGCAACGAAAGATACATTTTTGCAACGAAACTTGGGCCCCGCCAATATTTTTGCTGCGAAACTTCAACAGGCGCGCTATTTCTGCAATTAACCCTTTTTTTGTTGTTGTTGTTTTTGTTTTTGGTACTTGCGATGTTGACGACGCTGCGCTGTTGTCGCTTTGGTTTTCTTCCTCATGAATTACTTCGTCAATATGCAAACTTCAAAGCTTCGTTGTTTTTTAAATGCTTCGTTCCAAAAAAAAAAAGAAAAAAAAAAAGACTTCGTTCCGGAGATGGTGTTTACTGTTTTCCTTTGGTCCTTTTAATCAAATTTAATGTTTCTTCAGCCAGGCATTGGTTTTGGGCCGCTGGGGTGAGGTCCCACTACCAAAGAGGATAGGATTGAAGACCTGAATCTGGACGTGTTTGTGGAAAGGTGCAGAATGTCGAGATTGAACTGCTTTTCTGCACATCCGCTTAAAACACGTCCAGATTCAGGATTTTTATCCAATCCCCTTCGCTAGTGGGACCTCGCTGCTGGACGCGGTTTCCAGCAATGAGCGCCTAAGCTGTGGCAAGGTCCCACTTGCGCAAATTAGGAGATTTCGGCCGTTGATCTTTGCTATCTACGGTCAGTATCTCTTAATTCGTGCAAGTGGGACCTAGCCCCCTGGCTGGGTAATGGCTGCCTGAAGAAACATACTGCCTGTAAAAAAAAGGGGTAACTTCAGTAGTAGAGTCACAAAAAAAACGAGTTATAACTGCACTATGGGGCAACATACAGTTTGCAATTGCACTTTGGGCACCCTACCTGGCCAGCAAACTGCGTTGTATACATTGCCCGAACTGCAATTCGAAACTGTATCTTAGCCCAGAGTACAATTACAGTATAAGTTGTATAACTCTTTTTTCAAGTTTTTTGTGACTCCCGCGTAGTTCTCCCCCAACATTTAAAAGGACCAAACAGGGTTGAGTTTTGGGCTGCTGGGCCGTGGTCCCATTAGCAAAGAGCATCGGATTGAATGCCTGAATCTGGACGTGTTTGAGAACAGGAGCAGGAAATGGAGATAGAACTGCTTTTCTGTATCTGTGCATAAAATATGGCCAGATTCAGGATTTCTATCCTATCCCCTTGGCTAGTGGGACCACGGCCCTGGACCCGGCCGGTTTCCAGCGCCCCAGTTTTTTCCGGGTTGAGATGTGGAGGGGTTCCAAGCCCCCTTTGGTTTTTCATTCAGTGTCAATATCAACGTTTTCCATTTATTCAAAAAAAAAAAAAAAAAAAAAAAAAAAAAAAAAAAAAAGGGAGAGAGAGAAGAAGAAGAAGTTTTCGTTCGGGAGATGGTTGTGCGCGCGGTGCGCTGTTGCCGCTTTGTTTTCTCTTCTTCGTGACGTCATCACTATTCAGAGATTCGTTCACTATTCAGAGATTCGTTCGGCAGATGGTGTGCGCGTGTTTCGCGTGCAATCCCAAACTGAAGTTATCCCTTTTTTCTTTATAAAAAAAAAAAAAAAAAAGTTACCCCTTTTATGACTCATCTCATAGTGGGGTGTGACGCGCGCAATTGCAAACTCCATCTTGCCCCACAGTGCAGTTACACTATCATAACTCGTTTCTCTTCTGTGTGACGTCATCAATATTTAGAGACTCGTTCAGGAGGGGTGTGACCTACATGTATGCATGGTTAGGACTTAGCAGTCGCAGTTAATTAATTACTTACCATGGTTAAGCGTCGCAGTTAATTAGCTGCCATGATCAAGAGTAGCGGGGTAATTACTTGCCACGTTTGTCACGATTGTCAATGTATGACGCTGCAATTCAGAGATAGATACCGAGTTACGATTTTCATCATCGAACTGACCGACCCCTACAGTCTTGCCCCGAATACAACGTACGGTCATTATAGCTGAATTTAGACTGAAAGATACACCAAATTCAGCTATAATGACCGTACGTTGTATTCAGTGGAGTTTTTTTTTTTGTTTTTTTTTTAACAGTGGAGTTTTTTTTAGCTCGGCTCTGTATTTATTTCCACAGCTCGGGGCTGAGGTGTACCAACTCCAACTAAGCTACATAGGCCAGTTGTTTTTTTTTGTTTTTTTTTTTCATAGGCCAGTTGGTACCAACTTACCAAGTCATTACTTAGTATTATTTCGTTTTGTTATGCATTTTCTTTCGTTTCCCGCCGCCTTTTTTTTTTTTTTTTTTGAGTTGCATCTGGGGATCTGAGCGATATACATCAAACGATTGAATTGAATGGACGAGGCCATCGCCACACCACTGTCGAAACGTGCAAAATGAGAATGAACTTCCTCCTAGAACATGGCCAGATGCACCCGCCTCGTTACTTTCTTTTTCGCATTTCGCGAGTGAGTGAGTGGCGAGGCCCTGAGAGGGTGCCATTTTTTTCCTGATACCCCAAGGAGTTATTCGAGTTCAATCAAACGCTCAACAACCCCCCTTTCGATCGCCACCCCCTCTTGTTATGGTAGGAGGGGTTCCTCATCTCTCCCTCCCCCCCCCCCCTTCCAACACCCTCCATCCCACGAAGAGGTCGGGGGGGGGGAGGTGCGCGATCCTTGGAGCCGTCAAACGACGGGGGTCTTCATTTCCTTGAAGAGAGAGAAGGAAGGAAGAAAAGAGGGGGGGAAACAAAAAAAAAGGGGAAACTACGTGGGAGTCACAAAATAAAAAGGAGTTATAATTGCACTATGGGCCAATATACATTTTCGAATTGCAGTTCGGGCAATGTATACAACCCAGTTTTCTGGCCAGGTAGGGTGCCCTACCCGCCGAAGTGCAATTGCAAACTGTATCTTGCCCATAGTGCAATTATAACTCGTTTTTTTGTGACTCTACTACTGAAGTTACCCCACAAAAAAAAAAAGACGGATTGTGGTCGAAGGACGAGGGGTAAGGACGAGACTTAGGGCATAAACAGACCACTCGGGGATGTGAAAAGGACAAAAGCTATGGCGGGTGAATCTTTCCATGTTTCGGCGGAAAATACATGCTTCCGGGAGTGGTGTGGCGAGGCCGTTAGACCCAAAAAAACACACACGTGGCGTATTTGGAGGTACCTGGATATGGCGCCAAGCGAAGCTGACGTGTCAGTGCCCTGCTTGACAAAGACAACGTGTTAAGCACGCGGAGAGGAAGAGCTGAGCAGTCGGTCCTGAGAGAGGAGCACGGGGAGGAGAATGCGGAGAAGAAGCCACAATCTGATTCTCCCGCGCAAGATTGGCGGAAGGGGTGATGACAATGCGCAGCTGCAGCGCCAAAGAACGCGCTTGAGCGCACCGCCAGCGGCGGGGCGGTGCCGCAGGAGACCGTCCCTGCGGCCATCTCCAGAAACTTTAGCGAAATGTCCGAAGCGCGCCAAAACAACGCGCGCGCTCGATGGAGGGGGGAGAGGACGACACGTGGACAGGAGGGTGGGCCGCAATGCGCGGGCTCGTCGATTTCCGGCGGGAAGAGAGGAAAAAGGAAGCGGGGGACAAGGGGGAGAGGTGGGCGGGAAACAGGAAAGCGAAGAGGGAAGAGGGACAAGGAGGAGAGGTGGGTGGGAAACAGGAAAGCGAAGAGGGAAGAGGGACAAGGAGGAGAGGTGGGTGGGAAACAGGAAAGCGAAGAGGGAAGAAGGACAAGGAAGCAATTCGACTGCATACGTTTGGGCATCGCCATACCACTCTCAATATGTGCAAAACAAGAACGAACTTCCTCCTAGAACATGGCCAGAGACGCCCGCCACATTTTTGTCGTTTTTCGAGAGTGGTGTGGCGAGGCCCTTTCTCCGTCTTTGGGCTACAGTAACGGTAGGATAGCGACAAAACATACTGATAAACAAACCCCTCAACCAGGCAAAACTTTTTGAACGTCTTACTTTTTCTTTTCCCCTGAAAGCAAGAAGCTACCCCCTTCAGCATTGGCTGGGGGGGGAGGTACATGAAGCGCAGCCGCAAGTTTCGGTGAGGGTCGGTGGATGAAGGCGATAGAGGGCGGGGGAGTGTGCAGAGGGGTGTGCGTACCGAAATGTTCACAGCGCGCCAGACGTGGGGCACATGGCTGGCATTGTCGTATCCGCCCTGGTTTTTGCAAGCGACAGGAAATAAGTTTGGTTTAAAGTTTAGGTATACCGCGCGAGGGGTGGTCGTGTCTATGATTTACATTGACTGGATGGTTGACTAGAGCAGAGAGTGTGTGGGCGCGCAGGCTTGAGGCGCGCGTGATTTCTTGTGCTTTTGATGATTGTTGAAACCGGCATTGATCGCCGGCCATATTTTTACTTCTGATTAAACTAGGATTAAAAAGATAATGTTTCGTTGACCGATTGCGCTTACCTATGACTGGTGTGTACGTGCGGGGGGACGCGGCAACGGCAGCATGGTTCGGTATAGTCGTGCGATGGACGCGGAAGGTTGATGGTCGTGAGTGTTGTTGATAGGTCGATCTGAGGGTTGAAAAGTTTCAGTGGATCTGCGTGTCGCGCAGTATCCATTTATTTAGGTGTCAGTCAATACTAAACTCAGCCTTGGGCCAAGTATTGTTGGTTACGATGTCGGACTTCTGTTCAGGAGATTCGGGGATCAAGATCGAGCGGCTACAACGTGAGGATATTACAGTAGCACGAGGAGATCGAGGGGTTGAGGGTTCGGCGGGGCTATCCCTTTTGGTTTTGTCGTCGGCAACGTGGGAATGGTGCTAGCGGGTTCTTTTTCCTCGCTTCGTCATGTTCTGACGATTAAAATTTTCTACATATTTTACTATGCATTGTCGTATTATCATTATTATTTTATGCACTGGCATTTTTTGACTTGGACGCGGCGCTGGATTTAGAGTTTGTCACGACGATCGAGGACCTTGAGAGCGAGCATCGTTGGATTGACCAACGAGTTCCTGCGTATACGGGATGCCGGCAAAATTCCTTTACCCTAACTGTCTCGACATGCGGACCGAGGAGTTCAACGTGCATGCAAGTCAGAGGCGAAAAAGAAACTTGGATGGTGCGGACCTTCGTAGATGTATCACCCGCCAATTGTGAATCAGCCGCGGAGGTTTTGAGTACGTGCATGGCGGCCGGGACCTGAGTGAGGGATGAGCAATGCTTGGAAGGAGTGGTCTGGGGCACTTTAAGAAGACCGCTGCGGTAGCCCACCTGTGGAACCCTTCTCCACTTTGGTTGTCAAAATTTTTATTTGAAAATTTTGCTATTGCCGTTAAGACCCGCATTGGGACCCGGTCCGGTCGGATCCATACCACGAGCTTGTAGCAGGCTTCGTTACCACTGTTTGTGTGTGGGCGGTCGTCGGGGGCCCAAGGTGGTAGCGGACTCAGTTTGAGCAGGGCGGGCCAGAGGTAGACTGAGGAGGCGTTAAGGCGGAGGATTGGAGCGACACATATATGCAAATCATCCGTCAGAAATTGGGATAGGGGTGAAAGACCATTCGAACCATGCAGAAAACTGACTTTTCCTTAAAAGTTTCCCCAGGAAAGTCGGTGTTGCTGAACAATTTTGCACTCAGCTGTAAGACCGAGCGCCACGATCAGAGAAAACGTTGGTAAGGGCTCGTAGTGATACTGACAGGCAAATTGTTCGTCGAACGTGGGAATGTTGGGCTACGCTGGCAGTAGCGGGGGAGCGGTACAACGCTAAGGCAGCGAAATGAAAAGCCAAGGAGTAGGGGGAGAAGAAAGGGGCTGAATGAAACTGGGTGGTGGTTCGTCCCGAGTGCATTCGGCAGTAAATACGATCAGAGATGGTAAACCGGTGAGCCGGGGCGCAGCAAGGAAGTAGGAGTGCATGCCATACTCTACAGTTTTATGTGAGAAAAGAGGCGTTTTCAAGGTTTATGAGGCGGACGAATCTGATTATGGCGTTAGTTTGGGTAGAAAGTCAGTAGATAGGGAGTGGAGAGAGAATAGACTGCGCGGAGGTCCGCGAAAGTAGCTATGAAGAGAGCGAATAAACACAAAAATTTGTAATTTCTCAACGAAATCAATTGGGGAAGGTTGTGTTCTGGGGGTTTTAATGTGAGGCGAGTGTGATTCTAAGGTTAATTTTGGCAGTTAATTAGTAAGGGTTGAAGGTTAGAAAAGAAATTGATGGGACGTCAGGAACAACACATATGGCAAGGTCGAAAGTATGTATCTCTTTCGCTCCTTTACAGAATCGAGCAAGGTAAAGAGCGAATCTAAGGTTTTGGGATGGTACGAACCGGATGGTTGTGCCAGAGTTCTCATTTGGGGTGTGGATTGATTGACGCTGGCAGTAAGGGCCGCGCAACCATTATTGGAAGTTTTGGATCTGCCAATGCATCTTCCCTCGTTTAGGGGGGATTCATTCTCATATGCACATTTGGTAAGTATTGGTGCGACCGGTGCAGTTTCACAGGGCTACTAATGAAGTTTCGGTGCTTCTTGCTCCGAGCATACACTCCACCCTATGTAGCCGCGACGTGCGAGCTCATCCTCGTGGGGATCGCAGATCGGGCTGCCATCCTGAGCCTGGTGACTTTTGTCTCGTGCTCGTTCCGACCGTGTCGTTGTGTTGGCCGTTGTAGCCACCCTCGACAACACAGAATCACAGATCCTCTCTCATATGGCTGATCGAGGCATCTGGCCGCCTCTAGGCGAAGGGTGCGTTTGTAAGTTGTTAATGATGAGAAGGGAGGACTAGTGTGGGCAAAGTAAGTTGCACATACAAGAAAAGAGAGGAGAGTTGCAGGTGCTTGCCTTGCGAGTAAAGAGGAGGTTGTGAACGGTGGAGAACGCGGGAGTGAGTGCGGCAACTTGGAGGTGACATTACTGTTTAAGGATGCGATCTCAATTTCACTACTGCCATAAGTGTTATTGTCGCAGGGGAGAGAGAGCGGCGTAAGGGAGCAAGGCAACAGGGAGTACGTACCTGGCCTCCCTCTCGGGGAGGAATCACTCTCGGTTTGTGCGTTGCGGAGTAAAGGAGTGAGACATGCGACTGTGATCGGTCCCTCGATCTCCATGTACCTGACCACGTCGGACTATTGGGCACGGTCTGCTGACAGGGACATTAGTCCCCACTGCGTACTATGGTGGGACTGCAAAGGTCAGGTTACCTTTGAGGAGGCTGCTCCTACGCCTTGCCGTCGAAGAGGGACGTTTGCTGCTATGTAAATAATGTTGTTGTGTGTCTGAGAAGAGCTGGAGGCTCGCGTGCAGATTGGAGTGTTGGTCAGCCCCACGGGTGAAAGGGTAAAGTGTAAAGCAGCAGACCAGTATGATTGCCTTGCCGATGGTGCACGACTCGTATGATTGAACGGAGCGACGGGAGACGAGTTAGGAAGGATGTAAACTCACCTTTCAACCAGCAACACCATTTGTTGTCGGATAAAGCAACAGTAGACCAATTGCAAGAGACAAATTTGATTGTTGACTGGTGCGCCATTTGTTGCGTCGTATGGAGCAGTTAGAAGAGAGTGGCGAGCTCGCAAGCCTATCTATAGTCAGGGAAGCTCTGACCGAGAAGCTCCACGAAGGAGGTTGAGTCCTTTGAAGGAAGGGGGAATTACTGCAAGTTGAAGGATCGTCATGAAGGCAATAACTGACTATTTAACCTTGACTGACCAAACTGCTGCAAATTTAGACCATCATTGCGGTACCCTCAGGCGTATCAAGAAACCAAGACCCTCTCACCCGAGTCTGAGAGTACCTTTCTTGGATCTGAGAGTCTCAAACCCATTTCCTTATACCCTCCTCACTCTAAGTCTTGTCTATTTGTTATGAGAGGAAGGCGGCAGGCGGGATTGCAACCCGTAGGACCGCAACAAGACTCTGTGGGGGGGGTCTGCCTACTGATTGCGGGAGCTCTGCCGGAACTCAGGAGGAGTTCTGGAGGCAAGGAACCACCAGGTACAACTTTTTCTATTTGTATGACCCCACTATACCCCTGTTTGACTATCTCCCTCTAGTTTTGACTGATTGTATGTATGTGATCCCCTATGATTTTGTTGTCTTTCCGGATTTAATCAAACTAAATGGAAATAATATGTGTGAAAAACTTAAGTTTCTCTTTATTTTTAACTGGAAGCAGACTAAGAGGTGAACGGTGAGAAGGTGGGAGGAAGACAGTTTATATGCGTTTCACCGGGTCAATCAAAGACTAGGCATTGTTTCTAAGCTTAATGACCCAAGAATATGTTTATTTAACTGTTTTTCTGAAGGGATATACATTATTTATAAGATGAATGGTCTGGTTGCTCTGTTTTTTTATGAAGGCTTGTCTGGCTGAAATGTTTAATCTTTTGTTTCATTCTGAGAGAGGATTTATGGTCTAAGGCTAAGCATTCAACATAAAAATTCCCATGAGAAATGAAAGTTGAAAAAACATTCAAAAAAAAAAAATCTTCATATTTATAAATTATCATTTCAATGTTCGTTGAATTCTAAAATTTACAGTTTTATTTGATAAGTTCCCGTCTAAATATGAACTTTCCTTTCCAACTGCATCTATTTGTTCAAGATGGAATGGAAGTCTGGACGAGTTTATGAAATATTTTAATTAAATTTTTATTTTGTTACAACAAATATCTTCTAATTTAGATTGAATTAACATATTTATGACTGAAAATTCTTACTTATAATGACAGTCCAATTAAAATATTTCATGAACTCATCCAGACTTTCATTCCATCTCTAGCATGCAGTCCAAATAAGAAGGGATACCCTATTCTTGGAATGAAAGTAAGATTAAAATTTTTAAAATTTGAATGATATTTTTTAATATGGAATGAAAATTTGAAATTTAGATTGTAATTTTACTCGACAATTATTATTTAATTCCAGAAAATTTTTCCATTGTTGTTTGTAAGCTGAATGGTTTAACATAAA